ATATTAGTATCTAAACCCAAATGGACAGGCTTACCTGAATGTAGCAGAGATGGTAGTATGTGGATCGGATGTTGAGTATCAATTCTTGGAGTCAGGACTTGGCCCTTCCCCTTTTCCTGACTCAGCCGTGGAGTTGGACTAGGTTCAACCAGTACTTTTTCGCCCTCTACAGTCAAAGAAACTTTGCTAATCTTTCCCTCTGTGCGAACCCTTAGGTAAGGCTCCATGTCTGATTCCTGTCTCTCTGGCCTGAAAACCTGACTATGCTGCATCCATGGAATAGACTCGTTTTGTTGGCGGGGATGCTATCTGCCGCACCTCTTTAAGTGTTTCCAACTCCATCTGACTTTTGTCTGGCATACCCGGTTTGGGAAATCTATGTTCGCCACTGTTAAGGCTCAATCTTCTTTGCGTTTGGACATTTCCAGGGTCTTGCAGATCCGTTTCTTCCTCTAGGAATAGTAGATCAGTGTTTAAGCTATCCTCTTCCATCATATCTTTTGGTTTTTGGAGGTCGATACTTCCCAAGCTGATGGTTTCTCCAGCTTCTGAATCCGAGTCAGAGATTTCTTCAACATCTGTCAATCTGTCCGAATCTGAGTTGGAATCCGCACTGCTCTTCACACACCTCGGGTTATGGCCCTCCAGGTCACATTGTACCATCTTCTTCGAGGGTCTCCACTGTAAAGAACTGGATACCTGCGCTGAACTGTTCGAGCGAGAGAGAGAGCTCGATGAAGACAATGGTATACCCATTTTATTGTCTGCCTTAGGTTCATGCCTTGTCACGTGCACCTTTAAGTCATCACGCGCCCTCCTGGATCGTGGGTCAGTTAAGTATAGCCCACTTAACCTTTCGGGTCTACTTGGCCCAGAATTGCAAGTTAGAGTTGTAATGTGGACCTGCTGGGTGGACCCTTTGTCCCCCCTTAGATAAGCCCATAGAGTTCAGCCCACTAATTATTCTGTCCTTTCTTCTATTATTTGACCCAGGCCCACTCCCTATTACCTGGCCTGGATTGGGTTGGGCCCTAAATAACTTTAAGTGGCCCAATGGTTGAGCTTCCCACTTGTCTTGTGACTTTAATTCAAGCAAACTTGCAACCTCCTTGTCACCTTTTCCCAGACGACCATGTGTGTTTAAGGAATTGGTTTTAATGCCATCTGTGACAGCTTGTGCAAATGTTCTGTCAGAGGCCCAGCTAGTGCCTTGTTGAACATGCTTATGACTTTCCATCTTCAGCAAGGCTTTTGGATTTCCAAAACCTTGCTTGGCCTTTTCTGTGTAAATCTCTCTTCTTTGCAGGATTGCCAACCCCTTGCTGCCACGCAAGGTTTCTTCTTCAGCCTTACCATCTTCCTCCCTTTGAGCATCCCTCCACATTTCAGCTTCAATGGAGGAAGTCAACCAGACCGCCATGAAAGCTCCTTCTACTCTCAGGTTCACTTTCCTGGGAATCTCCTCAGGCTTTACCCCATTTAGTAAAAGTGCTACGGACCTGAGGTCTCCCCAAAAGACACCAACCAGCCTTGCTCCACACAGTGCTGTGATGGCTTCTGCTACTTCATCCTTCCAAAGATGGAAGGGAAGACCAACCACACGCACTTTTACTCCATCCATTACTGGGAATTCCTTCGAGTTTGATGAAGGAGACCACCTGAAGATATTCACCGAGCCCAGCTTATCTTGCATACATACAGCCTCAACTGCTGGGTTGTTATCCAGAGGATCAAGCAGAGCTTTGCACCCATCAAAAGGCATTAATACAAATGTGGTTTTCATCCTCAACTGTTTTGTCACCAAAATAGCAACCTCCTCCCAGCTTCTCCCCGGTTTATCAACTTCAACAACCAGCTTACTGGACCATTCTCTTTTATCTACCAATAACAAGATTGCCGCTCTATTTCCATCTTGCATCACAGTAGGGGCCAATTGGTTAGGGGACTCCAGGTCCACTTCTGTCCTCGAGAGATCCTCTCTCACCTTCTTTTCCCAAACTTTTTCCTTCTTCATTTTCATTCTAGACATAAACTCTCTCAATGCCTTGGCTATTTCAGTCCACCCCTGGATCTTTCTTCCTTCCAGGAAGCATACCATTTGCTTCCTGGTACTGTTAAAATGCTCTGAGAGAGTTATGAAGAATCCTTTTTTTATTTTTCCTGCATTCCACCACGTATCTCCTTCCCATCTTTGCTTGGAGTTCTTTCCAGCACCTATCCTTCCCTTTTGTACTCGCTGTAACTACAAAATCAGTGAGCCACTCTACCACATTCAATCCTACCAACATCACCACACCTCCTTTGCAGTTTCCATCCACAAGTAGTGCTGGCTAATATGTGGCTGCATAGAATTCACTAACCAACACACTACTGTGTAATTCTCCTGCATCCACCTCTCATAGATAGGGTCATCCTCCCCCGGTTTCTTCTTGTTCCCGGTGATAACTCCATTTCCCTCTACTACACGCATGTATCTTAATAGATTGAGACCAGGCTAAATAATTGGTCCCACCGAACTTCACAATGGTCACTGCCCCAAAAAGATTCTCCATTGAGCCCCCATGTCCAAACCCGGAATCTATGGGATATTTGGTTTTTCCTCCAGTTTGTTCCATTGAGTGAAACGGAGATCAAAATAAGCCTCAACTAAGCTAGAATTGCTATCCCCAAGCAAAAAACTACTCTTCAAACAGCCAAATCCAGAGTTTCACAAGACTCGCTCGAAGGGGAGAAGAGGAGAAAGTTCAACTGCTCCTACCAGAGGTTCCAGAACCCTGTCCAACTCAAATCGCCCTTAATGAAAATCAAAAGGCTACCCTTTGATCTCCAAGCGCCAGCTTCAAAGTGTCTCTAGGACCTGTAACTAGTTTTCTCCAGTTGTTTAGGGTTTTTGGGGAAAAACTCCAAGAGCCTGCCTTGGGCTTCAACTGGGGATGAAAACTTCACAAAACCTTTCTAAAAACCCTCTCAATTCTCCATACACTGTCTATGGGCCAAGAGAGAAGAAAGAAAAGAAGGTGAGAACATGCTCTGATACCAAGTTGTAAATCACACCTGCAATAATCTGAATTAAAAGAAAAGAAATAGGAGAAAAGAAGGAGATTGAAGAGAGAGAAGTGATGGAGGAAGAAGATGGAAGAAAAGGAAGAAGAAGAGAGTTGTTTTAAAAAAAAAAACTCTCTTCAGCCCCCAATGATCTCTTTTATTCTTCTGTTGTGAAAAATAAGGACAATTACAGGAATGCCCTTAGTAGGGCATCCATCACAAAAAACAGCAATAAAAAAGCAATAAAAAACAAGAAAACAGGCCCATAACTAAGGCCCACTATCTACTAAAACAAGTCATAAACATAGCTTAAAGAAAAACAAAGAAACTAAGGCCCATTCGGCCCATTATCTCTACAAATTTAATTAAATTTCGCAAGGCATAATTCTTGAAAGATGACTCCCCATTTTCCATATCCATGTCTATACCTATCGATATTTGTGCATTATTGATAGCTCCTAATGCGATGGCATTCCAAGAGGGACAAAATTGCATATTTAGTTCAATCCAACCTTTGATGCTTCATAATGCTGTTATCACTGATATGCTCTGTTTGACAGTCTTTGATGTAGGCTTGCTAATTCTACTAAAAAGAATGTAGGCTTGCTAAACTATATCATCTTTCACTTTATAGGTTGACTGTGATTCTTCTCAACTTTACATAAATTATACCTTTCTGAATTTAGCTGAAGTCTTTGCTTTTTTATGCAGTGAGTTATTATTATTATTTTTTTCTGATTAGTTCCAAGTCTTTGTAACTAAGCTGTTGAAAAATTGTAATTTGTTTGGTTGGTTGCAATTCTAAGTATTTTATGAATTTAACTGGAAATAGGTTACTTTTTCTTCTTCTTTCTAGCCTTTTGCCTTTTGTGTCCATCTGCATACGTAATTAAAGCTGTGCTTGATTTGAGGGAAGATTTTCTTGGGAGGGGAAAGGATGGGATGAGATAAATGAGAAAGGGAAAATGGGTGGAAAATTTTCAAGTTCCATTGTTTGGTTGCAAAAAGGAAAAAGTGGGAAAATCAACCCCACTTACAATAATAATTAATTAATTAATAATATATTTTTTTATTATTTTTATATTTTATTATTAACTAATCATTAGTATTTTATTAATTAATTTATAATCATTTAATTAGTGAATTAATTAATATCAATAATAGTTAATTAATTAAGAATTAATATTTATTATTTTATATTTTATTTGATGAATATGTATTATTAATTACTAACTTTACTTTGTATTATTAATTATTTTTAATTAGTTAACGATTTTATTATTTAATTATTTTTCTTGATTTATTAAATAATTTAATGATGAAATATTTGCTTAACTATTATTAATTAATCAGTCATTTAACATTAATTAATATTTTAATTTTTATTAGTTTACATTTTACTATCAATATTTTATTTTATTAATACCTCCTAGTTAATGATTTTAATTTTTTGTTAATTAATTAATGCTTTATTAGTTAATTTCTTTGGTTTATTTATTAATTAATTTATTTTTAATGTCTTATTAAATAATAATTTATTAATTATTGGATCACAGGTCTAATATGAACTCTTAAAAAGACTACAAGGAAGGTGTTTTCTTACGTTAAGCAAATTCCCCCTTGCTTTCCCACTTGTTTCACACCAAAATGGTTTGTTTCCACTTCCCAAGTATTGAGAGCAGTAATCCTACCTTTTTCCCATCTCATCTCATGACATCCCACAAACCAAACATGGGAAGAGAAGAATATTTGAAAACATTCCTTTTTTCCCTTTCCATCCCATAAACCAAATGGAGCCTAAAGGTTTGTATGTTTCTGCCTAATAGCAGGAAATCCTTTTATTTTATGTGCAAGTTGGAGACATTGCTCTATGTGATTGGCATGCAGTTCTTTTTGTTGCTTTTCTAGATTGATATCTCTCATTCATAGTGCTTTCTCTTTGTTTCTTTTGGAAGGTAAGAGCAACGTCAATTACTTGTTTTGCGGGTATAACTTCCTCTGTTTTTTTCTCTCTCACGAAGGAGAAACAGAACTTCATTATTTCTTCTTCTGTAAGTTTAGATAGAAAAGTACTTGAAGTATTTAATCTCTCTTTGCTTTCTGTATATAGTGGATGCAGATGCATCTTCTGATATTTCATTCCTCAAAACCCATTTTAGATTAGTGCAGCATTAAATGATGAGGCTCCTCAAGTTAAATCATCCGCTTGCCGGGCCATTGGTGTTATTGCATGTTTTCCACAAATTTCTTACAGGTAATTCCAATGTTCATGTTATGCTACCTCTTAGTTTGGTTATTGCACTTATTATGTAATCTTCTTGGTTTGGGGGATGGACCATTTACCGAAGGCTTTAATATTGTAGCACAAAGATCCTCAATGAGTTTATCCATGCTGTGGAGATTAACATACGTGATCCCTTGGTCTCGGTATTTACTTGTATCAATTTCTTGTTTCTAATTCTTTTGTTTAGTTTTGGATCTTAAGATGGTGAACGTATCTCTCGATCACATATTTCTTCAGGTACGAATAACAGCCTCTTGGGCTTTAGCAAACATATGTGATTCTTTCCGTCACAGAGCAAGTGATTTGAACTTGCAGAGGTGTTCTGCAGGTGAACTAATGTGTTAAGTGAGTGCTTTTATTATATTCATCTTATTTTCCATGAATTTGATTCACTGTTCCCTATTTATTCTTCTTGCAGGAAAACATGTAGACCCAGATTCTGATTTATTTTCCATGAATATAATCCTGTTGGCTGAATGTGCTCTGCGGTTGACTAAGGACGGCGACAAGGTAAAGAGGTCTCAGCTGCTTAATGAAAGCAATAAGCTTGTTCTGAATTTTTGTTATGAACCATTACCTTTTTCTGTTTTCATAGGTGAAATATAAAATTAATCCTCAGCCTCAGGTACTTTTATTATGGTGTATGGCTGTTTGTGGCATTTTTATTTAACCTATTGACAGGCTGAACAACTGCTCCAATAAGCCCAGTGTTTAATTGTATTTTCTGTTTTTTGATCAGTAAAATATATTTTATTTGTAATTATGATTGGTGGTGGGAGTGTTATTCCCACTTTAGCACACTTTTCTGTCCCAAATTACAAAGCTGCCAAAAATAGTTGATGCCTCAGTGCCCCTTCTTTGGCAAGGGAATCAGCTAGCCAATTTGCACTCCTTCTTACCCATTTGAAATCAGCCTCTACTTCCTTTGAAATCTTCTCCACTTCCCTAGACCCTAATCAAGTGTTTGAAAGTCCAAGGGGTAAGGCTGTTGCTTCTAGCCCATGAAATGACCACTTTTGAGTCTCCTTCCACCTCAATATGCCTAAATTCCAACTGTTTACTTGTAGCAATGTCCACAGTTTAGCCTTCAATGAATTCCCAGTGCCAGTCAGTTCTGAGAACAAAGCCAATATCCTCCATTTACAATTTCTGGTTACTCCTCCTATACCTGACAATCCCAGATTTCAAGGGAGCTCCCATCAAAATTCAGTTTGATTTTGTTGCCTTCTGGAGGTTTCCCCTCCACCCTTACTTTCTCTTTCACTCTTGAAGACTGCTACTTTGGTCCAGGTTCTTAGGATGTCTATGACTAAGAAAACTTAGAAGTTATCCAAGGATTTTACCCAATGTGCTACTTTCACCTTTATGATGTCTATCACTTCCTCTATTGTTCTGCTTTTCTCCAAGAAGATCCTGTTATTCCTTTCTTCCCACATCACCCAGCATATTGCTGCCTTTGTAGCTCTCTACATTACCATCCTTCTTTTCTTTGGTTGCCTCAAGAAGTCAGGGTCGAAAAGGCATACCACATCTTGAGGGGGAGCCCACCTGCAACCAAAGAGAACACAAAAAAACTCCCAAATTTGATAGGGTCTCACCACTTTCCTTACAAAGAGAGCACATGTGAGGAAAAAGGCAAGCAAGTGGCTTTCTTCTCTGCAGCATATCACAAGTATTTAGCTTACCAAGGAAGATTTCCCAAAAAAGATATTGAATTTTTGGGGGAATAGGCTTACTCCAGATTTCTTTCACAGGAAAATCCCCAACTAGGGGCTAGGTGAGGCAAGTACTTTGAAGAAAGAGGAACAAGTAAAGAGACCATCTGAAGAAGCTACCCATGGACGGGTCTAAACGAACGTGCCCTAGCAGGTCTAACAACCAGATTAAGGACTCACACTCATTTCCCTAAAACCCCTTCTGAAACATAAATTCCAATTTACACCGTTTGGACAAGGTGTTCCCAAATTAGACACAGTTTCCCCCTTAAGGTTTGAAAGAGCAAGGAGTTAAAAAAATTGGTCTTTAAGTGGGGTTTCCCCTACCCAAAGATCTTCCCAGAAATGTACTTTATTACCTTGTCCCACATCAAACCAAATGGAGTTGAGGAAAGTAGAGTAGACTTCATGAAATGCTTTCCAAGATGAAGCTAAGGTAGCATGAGGAGCAACTTTTGCGTCCCAGCCATTACCTTCCAACCCATGAATGCTCTCTATAACTTTGTGCCATAGTCTCACTCTCAAAAGGGAATCTCCAAAGCCACTTTCCTAGTAAAGTTGTGTTTCTTAGGATAAGGCTCCCTACTCCTAAATCCCTTGGTCCTTAGGTTCGCCAACCTGTTCCTTTTTTTTTATGGGAAAAGGTAGCTTTCATTAAATTAATGCAAGTTTAGTACAACTATCACCTTCAAAATCTAGGTGACTCCTCAAAATAAGCAATTACAAATACACTCAAAAAGGATTTTCCCTATTGATTCCTTGCTTTGCTAAGTTATTGGCCATTGGACTGGCTGATCATCTATTCCATTTAAAATGTTCTCCAAGTTCCCTTGTTAGGTACAATATTTCCCTGACAGGCTATCTAAGGGACCAAGTCTCCAAACTGTTTGTTTACATCCAACCTACTACCAGTTTTGAATCTCCCTCCACTTCTAACTGTTGAAAACCCAGTTGTTTAGCCAATCTGATCCCCTATAGGAGTGCCAAAACTTTTGCTCTAAGTGAGTCCCTCACACCTATCGGGCCAGAGAACATGGCCATGACTTTTCCTTCCCCATCTCTAAAAGCAACCCCAATTCCAGAGGGGCCAGGATTACCCATAGAGCTGCCATCAAAGTTCAAGTTAACGGACCCTCTGACCTCTATAGCATCTTCTGATTTTTATAATTTCTGTCATATTTTTTCTGCAACTTAGTTATTTTTTCTCATATTCTATGTTTTCCGTTTTTTTTTTTTTTTGCATTTTCTGTGTTTTATAATGTTCTGTAGTGTATGTTATATTTTTATGTATGTAGGATAAACAGGTTGGGTGGGTTTGGCTGGGCCAAGGTGGGAACCCAACCCATTTGATTTTTTCTAAATGGACTGTTAATGGGTTGGTGGGTTGGATGGGTTGGGTTGAAGCTCAACCCAAACCTGCCCAATTGCCACCCGTTATAGACTCCTATACTTATGTATGACTTGGCCTGATATCTCTGATACAATGGATGTAGTGAGTCAATTTTTGCAAGCACCTCATAGTTCACATCTTGTAGTTGAAAGAATTCTTGTTTATCTGAAGGAGAGCACAAGCAAGGGAATCGTAAATCATATATTCATGCAATGATCATATGAAGATTGAATTGTTTAGTGATACTAATTGGACTGGTTCTGTTGGTGGTAGATGATCCGGTTGTTGGTATTTTGCATGCATTTTATAATTCACATCTATCTTATAGTTGATAGAATTCTTTCTTAAGGAGAGCACAAGCAAGGAATCTTATATTTACGCCATGATCATATGAAGATTGAAGTGTTTATTGATGCTAATTGGGCTGGTTTTATTGATGGATGCACATCCACTTATGATTATTTTCCATTTGTGGGTGGAAACCTACATATGGAGGTCGGTTGTCATTTTATATGAGAAAGAGTTCTCTTTGTATTCTATTTGTTGAGTCTAATTTTAAGCTAGCTTATGTATTAACTAAAGGGGTTCCAAAGTCTAAGCTACATGATGATGTAAACAAGATGGGAATGATTGTGCCCGAGGTGCAAGGTGCAAGGCAAGGCACACGCCTTTTTGAAGCAAGGTGCAAAAATACAAAAAAAAAAGGCTAAAAAAAAAGTCAGAAAATTAAAAAAATGCCAAAATTTTCAAAAAAATGCAAAAAATCAAAAAAATATTAAACATAATATTAATAAAAAATATAAACTTAAATTTTAAAATAAATGTTTTAAAAAACCTATTATCTAAAACAAAAATGCCAAAAAATCAAAAAAATATTAAACATAATATTAATAAAAAATATAAACTTAAATTTTAAAATAAATGTTTTAAAAACCTATTATCTAAAATTAAAATACATAAACATAACATGTAATGTGTATTCAAATGAAAGTTTAAAAATAAAATCAAACATATAAAACATTTTCAAGCATGTAAAACCCACAATCTCTTTTTTCCTCAATTGCATTACTTCAAGTAGCTAATGTGATGTAAAATATATTACATTCCTGATTCTATGAGCTGCCTTTGTGCCACGCTCCTCAAGGCAAGCCAAAACAAGTCCATATTAGGGTTTTAAATTCTTAATTTTCACACAAAAATAATGATTTTATAATTTTAATTGCCTTAAAAGATGATATTTTATTTAAGATGAATGAATGAACAACATTAGCAATAAAAGCAGAACCTTGGAGGAGTTGGTCTCAGATATTACCTATCGTTGCATCCTTTGGGCGGTGAATTCAACTCTGTTTAAAGGACTTTCAGTCAATGATATTTCCAGAGATATTCACCCCTTTCTGTTTTTGCCTCATCCCCAGCAAACTCCCTTGAGGCTTCCCGTTTCCATCAGTGATGGTGCGATAACCCTTAATTTTGACGGTTGTGCCTTAGGCAATCTGGGCTTTGCAGGTATTACCGGTACAGTAAGGGACCAAAGGGGCAATATGTGCTGGACTTTTAGTGGTCCAATCGGTTGGGCCGACTCCACAAAGGCTGAAGTGATGGCTGCTCTCACCAGAATCAGGATAATAAAGAATTTGGGAATTCAGAATTTGATCATTGCAGGTGATTCAGCAAATACGATAAAATGGTTAAGAGACAAAAAAGGGAGCCCTTGGAGACTGTATCACTATCTGACTGAAGCTTGGGATTCTTTGGATGGTTTGAATGTTAACTTAGTTTGGATTCCTAGGGAACACAATCATACTGCAGAGGGCCTAGCTAAATTTGGTGTGTATTTGGAGCATTTGTATAGCGACAAGCTTCCTCCTTTGTAACTTGTAGGGGTTCCCCCCTGCTTTGTATATCTCCTCTTGTTCCCCCCCCCCTTTTTTTCTCAATAAATTCTGGTTAAATTTTCTCAAAAACATTAGCAAAGGTGCATTTTCAAAAGGCGCACACCTTTTGAACAATATTGCATTTCCAAAGGCGCATGCCTGGACAAAGGTGCAAGGCGCATCAGGCATGCACCTTTTGAAAGTGTTGCGCCTAGGACCTAGGCGAGGCACCTACCCTAAAATGTGCCTCGCCTGTGTGCCTAGGTGCGCCTTTTAAATCACTCAATGATTAATATCTATTCTCAATGGGGTTGTGGTGATAATATATGTATATGTTGAGGGGTGGTATATTATCAAGGACATTTGGTCTCTTTTTTGTAATTGTGGTGGGCATCATTATAAATAATGGAATGGAAGTCCATTCCTCTATTCTTCTTCCCCTCTCAAAGTGGCTCTAGGGGTGAACATGGGATAGGCTGGACTGGGCCCGGCTAGGCTTAGCACCTATTTTAAGGGCTATAGCCTGGCCATGGGCCTGGCCTAGCCCAACCTAGACCTCGATCTTGAAATGTAAGGCTGGGCTGGGCCTAAGTCCCAAATTAAATTTTATAAAATATATATTGTATTTTATAATATGGCAAAATATATGTCGAAAATGGATTATACAATTCATATAACATGAAATATTATATTATATTATATATATTATGTGTTATTTTACAATATTTAAATACATAATATATAAAACATATATGCAAGTATATTTTTAATTTTATAAATAATATATTGCGGGTCAGGTAGGGCTTGGGCTGGGCTTGAAGTGTCAGATCGAGGCTCAGCCCTAAAATTTCTGGCCTAATGCAGGCCGGTGGGTGGTTGGGCCTGAACACAAAAACCTAGGCCCAATCCCAGAAATTTCGGAGCTGGGCAGGGTTGGGCTTCCAGCCCTAAAATTTCTCTCTATTTCTTCTCTCTTTATCTATTTTCTTCCATTTAATCTTATGTATTTTTACTATTTTATTGTTTCCTATATGAAAGTGACTAGCTGCATCCAACCTAAACTTAATGAAAAATAAATAAAAATATCCGAAACATAAGAATAGGAGATAATTTAAAGATGGATTCAACACTGGCTTGCTATACTCTGTAATGGAACATCTGCTGTTTTTCGCCTTATCAATCTGAAAGAAAAAAATAAATACAAATTCAAATTTCTGATTTGGTTCACTTATGCTTGTCTAGTTTTTGTGAGTTACTCTTGTTCCTGCTGGAAATGTCCATTTCAGTCATTAGAGCATTCTCTTAACAACAGTTCTCATGCCCTTTCATATTATTCTTTCATCAACTTGTTCTATTCGTAGCTCATGAAGTCGTATTTCTTTTCCTTCAGATCAAATCAAATGCTGTAAGGGCTCTAGGAAGTCTTTCGAGATTTGTGAACTTCTCACATTTGTCCAGTGCTAAGGATGAACCAGTTTGTATGGGTTCACCTCTAACCACTAATATCAATGAACTGTTGCATTCAAGTAATGATTCCAAAGCCAGTCACGGTTCACTCCCTTCAGGAAACTTGTCTGATATAACTTATATGCAACATAACCAGTGGTTAGATACAATGGTTCAGGCATTTCTTTCTTGTGTAGCAACTGGCAATGTGAAGGTATTCTTTCTTTCAATATGCAATTTGAAATAAATTTTTTCTATTATACTTGTCTGGAATAATCTGCATTAGGGAATCTATGTTGACATTATTGTGTTCTCAACAGGTCCAATGGAATGTTTGTCATGCATTTAGCAATCTGTTTCTGAATGAAACACTAAGACTGCAGGATATGGCATGGTAAGGATATGCTATTTTTTGTGTTCTTGCATGATTGAAATGATCAAAGGCTTTATTAGAACAGAAGAAAAATAGGTGAATCAATGGCATGTCTGCTTTTCAAATACTTGGAATTTTAAAACCTGAACTAATATCAGGAATTAGGAATAAAGGAACATAATATTGCTATATACAAAAAAAAATGGTATATATTTAGGTGCAACATGCTGCAATTCTCGAAGCAAAAAAAAAAATGCTGCAATTCTATTTTATTTTATTTTATCCATAATATACAAATTATTTTAGAGGAGAGAATAAAAAGATAATTGCATTCTGTATAAGAAAATAAATGTTAGCAATGAATAACTTCTGTCATGGTCATGTTATATAACCAACAGACACACTTTAGTAAAACCAAACAAGCTAGTTATCTCGATCTGTCTGTGGCAAGTTGGTGTAGAACAGTGCTGAACCAGAACGGGGGAACCTATGTAGTACAAGTAATTATTTCAGGTGATTTTTGGGCAACTTTGGAGTGCATTGACTTGACTTATTGGGAATTATAGGTGGGCTATTTAAGGATTGATGATTCAGAAAAGTACGATAATGGTATGCCAAGAAATAAAATAATAGGAAAATAATAATTATCCATCATCATCCAGAATGGAAATACAGGAACTAGAAAAAAAACTAAGAGAAATTCGGATCTAACTCTCACAGAAGAGCCCACTAAATATACTTTGTTATCAAACTGAACTCTTTAAAAGTCACTAGAAACAACTTGTAATTACATTAACCAACACTATTCTCTGCCATAACTTGTATCACATAAGTGCACTCATATTCTGACTTCAGATTCTTAAAATAACTCTTGTTTGATTGTAAAAATAATAATTAAATGGAAGAAAGAATATAAGAAAAAGTGATGAGAAATCACCAAGTGAAAAGACAATAAAAACAAAAAAAAAATCCAACTTCCCCTTAATAGGTAACTTCAAGAATAGCTCCGCAATACATGTAAAACCCTTGTGTAGTTGGTGTTTGGGATAGTGATTTAAACGGCATGTCTGAGACGCATTTTAAGGTGTACACCTTGCCTTGCGCCCAGGTGCAACAATTTTTAAAAGGCATGTGCTTGGTGTGCCTTTTCAAATGTTGTGCATTTTGCTCTTTTTTGAAGCCCAAGTCCCAACAGCAGTGCTAGGGGCTCTGCCCCCAAACCCTTGACCAATCCCGTTGGGGCAAGCCCAAACTAGTCCATGTTAGGGTCTTAAATTCTTAATCCCTAAAAAATGATTTTATAATTTTAATTGTCTTTTAAAAAGATATTTATTAGGATGAATGAATGAAGAAGCAAAAAATATTTTTGTAATTTTAATGGCCTCTAATTGGTGATTAGATAATTGGCTTTATATTTTGATATGGTTTACTTACTAAGTCTCTATAATTAAAAATGAAAAGAAAAATACATATAATTACAAAGAGTATTCTTTTTTTATTGGAAATGGTAACTTCATTAAAATATTTCAAAATATGTCAAAGTACAATTATCAACCCCCCATTATGAAGTTGACCCAAGTTACATACTCATTACAACACTACCCAAAACATGTTCTCCCTTACAGTCCCTTGTTTTGCCAAGGCATCCACTAACCCATTAGTTGACCTTCTTGTCCCCTTGAAGCACACACCAATCTCCCTTGTTATATTGAGCATTTCCCTTATCATTTGTCTATATTTCCATGCTTCCAAGCAACCTGACTGCATCGACCCCATTAACAACTTTGTCCCCTTCAATTTCCATTTGATGCAGCCCCAATTGTTTGGCATATCTTACACCTTGAAGTAAAGCCATCACCTCTGCTCTTAACGAATCTCTTTCTATTGGCCCTAAAAACATGGCTATAATTCTGCCCTTCCCATCTCTAAATACTCCGCTATACCCGATGGGCCCGGATTACCTATAGAGCTTTCATCAAAGTTCAAATTTGTGCTTTGGAATGTTGGCAGGGACCATAATTCCTATACCACAGGGGACCACAGTTCCTGTACCACAGGCTTTAGGGATGTAATACCTACCACCTCACCCCATCTTCTGTAGATGCCATCAGCTGAGAAGTCTTTAAACAACTCACTTGTTTTCAACCAATAAATAACCTTAATAGTTATTCCTTCTACAACTTCCTCCTTGGACCTTTTAGCATTCTTAAAGATCCTATTATTTCTTTCTTCCCATATTGACCAACGCATGATTCTACCGCACTTCTTTGGTTGCCTGTAAAAGTTTGGGTCAAAAAGGCTTACCACATCCCGGGGAGGGGTCTACTTGCAATCAAAGAGAGAAGAAAAGCAAGACCAAATAAAAGACACAAAAGGACAACATATTAATAGGTGTGTGATTCTCTCACCAGAACCCATGCAGAGGCTACAAACATGGGGTGAAGGGCAAAGGTTTGGCCTTTTTCTTTGCAACAACTCCAGAGTACTGATTTTTCTGAGTGCAACCTCCCAGCAAAAAGCCCAGATTTTTGGAGGTACAGGGCTACACCAAACCTCCTTTGTTGGAAAATTCCCTGCAAGGTTAGAGGACTGAAGGACATAATAAAAAGAAGCACAAGTGGAGACACCAGAGGGGAAGGGTTTCCAAATTCTGCTATCCAAGCAAGATTGATCCAAATAAACTGACCCTAAAAGAGCAACAAGTTCATCCACCATCTCCATTTCCGACTCCCTTAACCCTCTCCTCAAGCCCTGATCCCATGAATTACTAATGAACATGGAAGAGATTACTTTTTCTTTGTTGCTTGAAAGGGAGTAAAGAGTAGGGAACCTATCTCTAAGTGGAAACTCACTGGCCCAAGTGTCTTCCCAAAACAACACTTTATTCCCTGCACAATCATATCGTAATTAATAGAAAAAAAAAGGCAAAAGTCAAAACGTCAAGTAAGTACATTTATATTTAGTGTAGAGAAAATAGTTGGCTAAAAACTAACTGATTTATAAAGTTCTTTGTGATGGTTTTTTGGGACGTAAATATGGAATTATACTTCTAATACTTCCTTGAAGATTTATAAACTAATTCCATGATTCTAGAAACTTTCCATGGTTTTTCTTTTGTATGTCTTCTAGGGGTTCTGGGTGCTTCTTTTGATGGATTGGGAATTTTGAGTCCATTGTTTTAAGAGGGTGGTGGCTACATTTGGGTTCGTTTTTTGTCTTTTCTTGCTAGGTGGTATCTTATCAACTTGTTGTAATCTTCTTTTTCCATTTCAATAAATTTTGTTTTTTATATATTTAATTTTTTATCAGAAAATTGAGTTATTTATTAATGCTTGAAAAAAGTTTACATATCTTTGCTACATAGTATTATTGATAAATAAAAAATCTTTGCTACATAGTATCCCAAATACAGCAGAAACCAGATTGGCCACCCTGATTACCATGCCCCCTTTTTACTATTACAGATTACAATATTGCCCAAAATAGAGTGGATCTGTCCACTCCCTGTTTTGCAAGAACATTTGCCAGCCCATTTGCTGTTCTTTTTTCCTATCAAAAGCTAGTGTTACAACTTTTTGCAAGGTAGTCAATTTCCCTAAAGGCAATTTTATATTTCCAAGGAGCTGAAATAATTTGTTTTGCCCAAGAAATAACCAATAAGGAATCTCCTTCCACTTCAAGCTCTCTAACACCCATCTGTGTTGCCAGTTTTAGTCCTTGTAAGAGAGCCATTGTCTCAGCCTTAACTGAGTCACCAAATCCAATTGGCCTAGAGAATAAGGCCACAACTGTACCTTGATGGTCTCTGAAAACTCCCCCTATATCCACCCTCCCTGGATTACCAAAAGAGCTCCCATCAAAATTTAATTTTAGTTGTTTGGCCTTGGAGGTTTTCTTTCCATTATCACTACCTCTTTGTGTATATCTGTTTGTACCACTTCAGACCATTTCCATAATAAGTCATTTGTGGAAACATCTCTGAAAAGCTCCATTGTTTTAGCCCAATGTGCAGATCTTCTTGATTTGGACTCTTTGGGAAGAAAGGAATATTAGAATTTTTCAAGAAAAGGAAAGGAGCAGTCAGGAATTGAAAGACTGTGTGTTAAATAGGGCAATACCTTGGCTGAAGACTTTGGAAATCTTTCATCAATTCTCCTTTAATGACCTTTGGAGAAATTGGTCAGCAGTAGCGAGGAGTTCATCTCTAGAGGACAAATCAATTACAAGCTGGTCTCTTCCATCCGAAGGCTCACTGAAGTTGAACTTTGATGGAAGTAGCATGGGTAATCCAGGATTATCCGGAATGGGGAGTGCTTTGAGAAACGAGAAGGGAGAGATTTTGTTGCTCTACTCAGGTCCCTTGGGAATTGGGGACTCCATCAGGGCAGAACTTTTAGCTGCTGTACAAGGGGTGCAATTTGCAAACCAGMTGGGGGTACAACACCTAACAATCGAGGGGGATTCCAAAGTGGTGGTGGGTTGGTTGAAAAATCCTGAAGAGGYTATGTGGCRTTACAAGAATGAAATGAAGAAACTTAGTTGGTTGACAAGGAATATGTTGGTCACTGTACAGTGGGTGGGGAGATTAGCAAATACTTTGTCAGATGTGTTAGCTAAGCAAGGGGTAAATAGGGAAGAATTGTTTTGGGCTCAGTTGTGATTCTTGCTTTTCTTTCCTAGTTTACTTGTAAGATTCAAGGAGGGGCTGCAGCTCGCGTCTCTCCCTGGGTTGTTGTATGAACTCACTCTAAATATGCTTCTGAATTAATAAATTTTTTATCATTCATCAAAAAAAAAATGTGCAGATCTTCCCTTTTCTTCTATTGCCTTAAGAAACTAGAGTTAAATAGGCTAGCCACATCCTGAGGGGGTACCATCTGCAACCAAAAAGAGAGAAGAAGTAGTCCCAAATACAAGTTACAAATGAACAGGAAAGTAGTAAATGAGGAAGGGTCTCACCACTGGCCTTGCAAAGGAGACACGCATGAGGAGAGGCAATTTTGTTTTTATTTATTACCAAAAAATAGAAACTTTCTTGATTTTATAGATTTCCAAGTATCTTAGCAAAATTAGTGAAATATCTCCGAAATTTCTCCATCTCTACGTTGTAAAATGTACACCGATATCAAAATTGCGAACCATGTTTATGGCCACCAAAATCTCTTCCCTATCAAACTCCTTTTCTAACCAAACAACTGAGAATTCACTAAGCTTGTTAGGGACAACATCTTCTAATGAGCAAATCCTCCATTGATTAGCTATATAGAGCTATTTTAAAAAGTTCACCATCTTCACTTGCATCTCCCCCCCCCCCCAATACTGTTGCATGAACATTTATAATTTCCTTTCAAACATCATACTTACAAGCAACCACCTTCCTCCACAACAATTCTCTCTCACATCCAAGCCTCCATAGCTATTTCCTCAGCAATGCTTTGTTGAATAACCTTGCCCTTCTAATCCCCAACCCCCATCTTTTTCTGTCCCTACACACCCTATCTCACTTCATTACCTTTTTCCAAAAACAAAAAAGAATCAAATACGGATCCACCCCTATCCAATTTGATAAAATTCGATTTGATTCAACTTACATATATGTGCTCATGTATACTTAAAATTTTTATCATACATATTAATAAAGTTGGTTTGATTGTTTTATGACCTCATTTTTCCCTCTCCTTTTATTAAGTCTCTAAAACCCTAGTTCTTAACCCTTTCTGCCCCATTTTCTTTCTTAGATTTGAATGTACAAGGTGTTGAAGCAACACAGCAATCTGTGCATTTATGATGTCCATTTCTGTCATATTGCAATTTTATTCTCTCAACTACTCAAACCATGAATGGGCATTTTGGTAAATTTACCATCACCATAACGTCAGTCAACGGACTTGGAAGTGTTGATTTCTGAAAGTGCATGGTACCTCATGCAAATGATAGTTGAAGCCCTTAGGTGTCATTACCCCCAAAGTACAGGGTATCTCCCCGCAAGTTATTTTCGTTTCATTTTGTTCATGAAATACATGATCAAAGTCAATTTTTAGTTCATTTTATTAATAATACTTAATACTTTTATAGTTTTTAGTTTAATTATTAATACTATTTAATATCTGATTCCAATCCAAATTCGATTTGAGTCTGATATAAATCTAATGGATAAGATCCAATTCAAATTTGAATATAAAAGTATCAAATTTGGTTCTATCTATATCCAAATTGATTTGATCCATTACCCCAGAATCAATAGGATTGACACCCTCAAAAGATTAAATGACCTGAGATGTATTGGGGGAACCAACTCTTCCTGTATGTTTTTCTAGTCCGGCAGTACCAACTTAGGGCACAGTTGAACCTTTGCTGCTGGTGGCAGCCCCTCATCCTGTCACCTATGGATCCAGATGCCTTGCTCTGAGGATCTACAAATTCTGAGGTAGAATACCCACCTTTAAAGTTTCATAGTGAGGACATATAATGGGTATGGTCTTGATCTGAAAAAAGATCCCTATGCATTATTAAGTCTCAAGCCTTGACTATCCTTTTTGCAAATTGCAATCCCTATGTTTATAGACCTCCATCTCTTATATATCTTTTATAGTTTGCAATAGTACTCAATAAAAACTCACAAAGTGGAAGAATCTGAGATAAATGAGAGAAGGGAAAAGAAGAGAAGAATGGGAGAATGGCTTTCTGAATCAGCACTTGTTTCATGTTAGATCCATCTATGCCATTTTAGATCTGAAATTGACACTAAGAAGGTAGACTCTCCCTGTTCACATTTTTCTGTCATATGTTGTGAAGTGCATGATTTATATGTTTGACTTTCTTTATTCAAGAATGTTTATAGTGGTTTGATAACAAACTATATGCTCGTTTCTTGGCAGGGCCCCTTCTGTTTTCAATATTCTTCTACTTCTTCTTCGTGATTCTTCCAACTTTAAGGTCAAAATACATGCTGCTGCTGCATTAGCTGTGCCAGCATCACGACTTGGTGAGTAATGGTATCGTGCTTGTTCTTAAGGTTGATCTACTTGTGATTCTGATTTTGGTTGCTTTGCTAAACATATTCTCTCCTCTTGTGGTGCACTTTTGATGGAATAACAAGAAATTATGTTTTTTACTTTCCTACCAATGTACTTGTCATTATCCATTTATTGAATAATTATCACTATGTTATGTATGAAAATATTGCTGTCATTGGTCAGACCTGGGGTATCCACACCTAGGTTCATGAAAAAGGAGAAAGGAAAGAGGAGAAAAAGAAAACAGGCCTACGGAGAATCAAAGATGAATCAGCCTCACCCCAAAAGTCAAATATTACATTAGGGACAAATATTTAAAATTATTAGAAACTTTCTGACATTTCACTGTAATCGTCATAATTTTTAAAATTTTTTCTCAAAAGAATAAATGAGGGTTTGGTGATGGATGATTGGTTTGCTATTTTGATATGATTCAATTAATGTCACTATAATTCAAAACGTATAGTAACAAAAAGACAAAAGTCAAAATGGTAAGTAAATGACATATATAGTGCAGAAAAGATGGGTAAAAGACTAAAAGGGAGAAAGAGAGACGGATACATACTAAAGATTCTTAGTAATCTTTGTCAATTAATACAATACCTTACTTTCTTAAAAAAAATACATACTAAAGATTCTTAATCTTCTTTTATTTGATTTATATAGTTGTTTGCTATGGTTTTTGAACCTTAAACCAGTCATTATAATTGTTGTAACAATTCCTTAAAGGTTTATTAACTAATTCCATGTTTTTGAAAAACTTCACTGATTTTTTTTTTTTTATTTCCAGTTTACCAGTGAAATATCCCCGAAATTTTCCTATCTCTGCATGACAAAATGTCCATCGATATTGAAATTACGAACTATGGTTTGGTGTTGTTGAAATCAATCTACTCGGTATCAGAGCCATGTTATCAGCCTAGAACTCTGTTCTCATGCAGTCTTAGCCCAGCTTGCTGCATGAGATAGAGGGAGTTGATAAAGTCCAAGCCCATTCCCGCTTGGGAACCTAGGCCACCTAGCAACAGTTACAGCGTTGAGCCCATTATGCCGAGAACTCTTGATACCTAGGCCTCTCAAATACATTTACACAAGGAGGACATGTCACCAGAATTAATTGAGAATTCAAGCATGTAACATGTGAACTCCATGTAAAACTATATAAGCCAAGAATTGAGAATGGGCAGTCATCAAAGAGTTATTTTACCTCAAATCTCTCTCTCTCTCTCTCTCTCAGTAACTTCATAAAATTAGGATACAGCTGTCAACCCCTAAAATAGGGAGTTGAACCCCAAGTAATCTTTTTGCAACACTTCCCAGAACAAACTCTCCTAACAGTCCCCTGTTTGGCTAAGGTATCAGCTAGTCCATTAGCTGTTCTTCTAGTCCACTTGAAGCACGCTCGAATCTCCCCTGTTATGTTGGGGATTTCACTTATAGGCTGCCTATATATCCATGCTCCCAATCTGCCTGAATGCAGCCAATCAATTAACAACTTGGAATCTCCTTTATCTCAATTTGTTGTAATCCCAACTGTTTGGCATATCTTACCCCTTGAAGCTGTTAGTGGTGTTAGTGAAGGGGTATTTCAGTCTTTGTACTTGTTGAGAATGCTGATGTGTACTGTTATATTAGTTCGAGTG